TCACAGAGGCCCAAATTACTGACTTGCCCGAGGAAGTAGACGGAAAAAATCGGCTGGTATCAGAACAAGTGTTGATTTCGAACCTGTATTTGTGTCTGGGGAAGAGGGGCAGGATGAACTGCACAAAAGACGACCACACCTGGATCTCCAGACGATTCGTTACCCACGGATGATAGACGCGCTGGAAACGGAATTTAAGAAAGAGAGAAATGAATCATATGAAACATACCAACTCCTTTCTCGTAAACAATTTATCAATGAAAGCTTGGAACAATTCCATTCCGTACTCAGCGGATTGGCAGCGCGGTGCAATTTTGGAGCACTAGAAGACCGAATACTAAGAGACGTATTCATTGTTAACATGAATAATCGGGATGCACAAAAGGAACTATGCAGGTCGATGAAAACACCTGAGGAAGTGTACCGGATAGCTCTCTCGTACGAGAGGGGTAACAAGTATGCATCATCATATGTTGCCACGGGACCAGTGGGGGCCCCAGGATCATCATCAGGAGGCGGAGGAATCCAGATAAAATCGGAACCAGTCGGAATAATCCGTGGAGGTTATCGGAACAATCGTGCAAGGGGCCGGGGCTCTTACCAAGGGCGAGGATCATATCGAGGCAGAAATCTACCCAATAACAACAAATGTTATAACTGCGATCAACAAAATTTCACCAGGGAACACTTGGACAGATGCCCAGCAAAGAGGGTTACATGCAATTTTTGCCACAAAATTGGCCACTTCGAACGAACCTGCAGGGGAAAACGTGGAAACCAGCGGGGACAGGGAGCCGTAGGAATGATACGGGAGAATGGCGACGATCATCACCTAGAAAATTCGGCGGACGAAGAAGCATCACAACATGCAAGTTCCATTGGATGGGTTAATAAGAATCCAGTGGTGCACTCGTGGGACTCAAGCAGCTCCGACGGGGACTATATGGTTATGGCCATAAAACGAAAAAGAGTCACAGAATTGAAAGTTGCTGGGGCACAATTGCCGATCAAAGTCAATGGGAAACCCACTCGAGTGTGGATCGATAGCGGGTCCCCAATTTCAATTTTCACCATCGGATAATTGCGGAAAACTTTGGGAACATCAGGAGTAAAACTGGACAATCTTACGGAGGAGAACAATGCTTTTCGGGATTATGGGAACAATCCACTACAGATGATTGGAACAATGGCAGTAATAATACAATCAAACGGCTGGAAGATCCATGCAAGGATAAAAGTAATCGGAGGGAACCGACCATCAATAATTGGAAGAGATCTGATGCCCCAACTAGGACTCCAGTTGGTGCAACAATCACCAGGGGACCACATAATGTCCATTGAAGAAGGCAGCCAGGACGCACTGGAACCGGAGGGGGAGTTGGATTCATGGCAGACATATTTCAGTAAGCAGTTTTCAAACCTTTTTAATAGGGTAGGGAAAATAAGAAACTACAAGGTACAAGCCGAATTTTTTGAAAACCTCACCCCAGTTCAACAGAAGGGGCGTCGAGTCCCGATTTCGTTGCAAGAGAAAGTGGATGCAGAAATTGACAAATTACTGAAACAGGGTCATATTGAAAAATTATCCGAATGCTCGGACAAATATTTTGTGTCCCCAATAGTAATAACAGTAAAAAAAGATGGGTCCGTGTAACTGGCACTCGAGTCGAGGGAACTAAATAAATAAGTGCATAAGAATAAATACCAAATGCCGAATATCGAGGAACTAATGGACACGGTTGGACAAACGATTAGCGAAAAAAAACAGGGAGACATATATTTCACAACAATGGATTTAACATATGCTTATGGCCAACTGCCACTAAACGCTGAGACGAGCATACAGTGCAATTTTTCTCTTATTGGAGGCCGCTCGACGGGTACATACCGGTTCAAGACCGGATTCTATGGTCTCACTACAATGCCCGCGGAATTCCAGTGCGCAATGGATTCTATACTCGCTGAATACCCGCAAGCGCATGCGTTCATCGATGATATTTTGGTCGGAACCAAAGGAACGGCGATAGACCACATAGCGACGGTAGAGAAAATTTTAAAGAAACTGGATCGTGAAAATATGTCCCTAAAATTGACAAAATGTAAATTCGCCCAACGAGAATGCGAATGGCTAGGCCATAAAATAACCCCGACTGGAATTACTCCATTGGTTAGAAAAACAGAACCAATAGAAGCGCTAACGCCGCCACGGACTTTGTCACAACTAAAATCGTTTATGGGGTCAATTCATAGTTTGCACAAGTATCTGCCGGCATTGGCCGAATCATCGGCACCGCTGCGACCCCTACTAAGCAAAAATAATGAATACATTTGGACACCCGAATGCCAGAACGCGTTCGAAAACCTTAAGAAACAAGTTTCTAACATTGTTGAATTACGGCATTTTGATATCCACAAAGACATTCGTATAGTGTGCGATGCAAGCCATAACGGGCTCGGCGCGGTGTTGGAACAGTTAGGACCAGAAGGATGGCACCCAATCTCGTTTGCGTCGCGATATCTTAACGAAGCGGAAAAGAAATACTCAACAAACGAATTGGAAATGTTGGCAGTTGTGTGGGGGGCTGAATACTTTAGAAATTACATACTGGGCCGAAGTTTTTTGATCGTTACCGATCATAAAGCCTTAATATCCCCTTTGAACGGTAATAACAAGAAAAATAAAACGATGTTTAGTCGCTTAACGCGCTGGTTAGATCGACTAATTCCTTTTGATTTTCAAATTGAGCATAAACCAGGGGTTAAAATTGGTTTGGCGGACTACTTATCACGTCATCCAAGTAGGGAAGCAACACCAATAAGTAAGTATGATAATATGTTTACGGTGGCAAAGATCAACCTAATTCGCACAGCGCTTGGCTTTAATACATCCAAGGGACCAAATACATCCAAGGGACCAATTTGTACAGCGGATAATAAGCATTCTATAAATAGACTGGAAGTTTCGTCACAAAATGACTCGGTAGAGGGCGGAAAAATATGTAAGCGGAAATCAACCAATCAGATTCAAACACGTGGTTTATGCCGACGGCTACGCGATATACGCACTGGATTAGTTGGGGCTATTATTCAATCAGAACACAGTTGTTCAAAATTATCTAAATCCAACTCTCAAAATAAAAATTTACTTAAATCCAGCCCTCAAATTTCAAAAGCAAATATCACTATGGACCGCAGCATGCGCAAATGGCAGAAATTCCTTAAACAACATCCAAGTCTGAATAGTAGTAGCGACGAAATCGAAGAATTGCCCCCAAATGTATCACTAGAAGCCATTACCAAAGAGACAAGATCAATACGCACAAATACCCACAATACGCACAATATGCCCACTCAAGTTAAATGAAAATTTTTAGCTTATATCGAACAATTTAAAATGAAAAAAAAAATTAATTGCTCCGGTGGTATTCGATCCGACCCAAAGTACAGATTTTACTAATGATAATTAAGTTCACATTTCACAGTTCCGCGGAAAAAACTATCACAAATTTGATGATATTTTGTAGCAGCTAGAAATGCCAAAAAAATTGCCTTGGAACTCTTTTCGCAAAATTGGCAGAGAAACTGCTAAAAACAGGTGAAGAAGAATTTAAATTTCTGTAGAAAAACAGAAATTTTAACATTTCTGTAGAAAAACAAAATTGTTTTTCTGTAGAAAAACAATTTTAATTTTAATTTTTATTTTTTTTAAATGGAAATCATTGGGTGAGACTAGCATGCCGGCTAGTACATCGAATGAAGCTGAATTGGCAGGATCGGATGTATTAGGTTTAAGTTTCCCAGAGGTACTTGGTAGATTGTCTTGAATTTGTGCGATACGACTTCCGACAAAAAATGCTGCGACGAAGTATAAAAATAGTTCTATTGCAACAAGAAACACACAAGAAGCATAAAATACACTTCAAGCCATGAAAACCTAGCATGGAAACGGAAATCACTTCTACAGGAGACGTCAGCAGTAATGCAGCGGATTTGCTGTTGATGCCTGTTTTTTCTAGCGTATGGGTCCTTAATGGTGGGTCCTTCCTTTAAAAATCATCTCAAAACTCATATAGCTATTTTTAATAGGCTCTTTTGGTTTTCTACCCAACTTTTCTTCTCTTTTTTCTCAATCGAAACAACTCAGTTCAAACATTGTAATCCCTAAATTGGGAGCTATAAAAGACTTTCAGAAAACTCCTGGTACTTTGCTGTCCACTAAACGTTCAGAAATTGGTCAGAACTTTGTTAAGCGTGTTTTTTTTTATCAAAGTTTATAAGAGTTTGAGATAGACCAAACATGCATCTCGGCCTCAAATATGCATATCAGCTGTATCTGACCAGCTTCTTGGAAAAATTCTCCAATTCAAAACTTGTTAATTATTTAGATTCATTTGATTTTTTCAACTTTTAGATCTGTTTGGAACAGTTCAATCTAATATTGTTTTTGGACCGAAAGATGCACAAACAAAGAAAACTCTTCTAATTGCCAATTTTTTATAGAAAAAAAGATGCCCATGTTGAATTTATGCAGAGAAAGAAGAAAACGAACAAAATTGAGGCAATGACAGCAGTCAAACCATGAGAGGGAAATAGACACGGTTTTCACCCATCCAACCTTCTCTCCTTCTGGTTACCATTTAAGGAACCCACTTTGGCACATTTTTTTTTGAATTCAAGCAAAAATTTTTCTCAAAATTACGCTTTTTTGCTTGTTTGGAGAGCTCAGAACATCGTTGATCGACTTATAAGTCTTTTCTCGACTTCTCGCCAAATTATCAGAAAACGAAACAAAATCTAATGAGGGAATAGTAGATAAATATGCATTTTTGATGGAGGCGGAGCAATAAGCAGAATGGTTCAAAAGCAGAAGGGTCTAATTAACAGAATTTTAGTGGCTAATCTTTAAAAAACACTAGAATGGTAAATACTACAAATGAAATTTGAGAGGATTACATGAGCGACCCGTAAATTATACTGAGAAGTTTAATGATAAATTTTACCTTTTGTATCCAGCGGCAGACACTGAAACCTCGAAGTGATGTTAAGCACGTCAAAATGAATTTCAGGTTTTATCCAATCAAAACCTCCAACCACAATCGGCAAAATTTTCGGGCTGTTTTTAGAATTGTACAGCGAAATTGCCGACTTGAACTCGGCGTCACACTCTCCCGATTTCGTCCAATCTTCGTCTAGAAACACGACCATCGCTTTACAATTCGCAGCGTTCCCGTTGATTTCTTTGCGGAAGTCGTCGCCTACTTCCAGCATGCCGCACAGAAATGTAGGTATCTCCTGTTCTTGAAGATAGTCATATAGTTTGCGAGCTTCGGCGCCCATAGTTCGCACGCAGTGACTCAAGAAAACGTCTTTAAAATTCGATTTTTCGGCCATTATTTAGCAAAAATGGCAAAATCGGTTTTGAGTGCTCCAGAAAAGCGTAATATGATGAAGCGAATAGGAAAAGTTATTATTGCGACAATATAAATAACTCAATTAATAATAAAACTTGATTTAATGTTTGAAAGTAGGATTTTGGTTCTATTGATTTCTCGCACTTTTATTTCGAAGACGGTGTTTTGTTATTTGCGGACCGCTTGGTATTGTTTAAAAAATGCGCACAGTTAAGGTATGTCAGAGTTTGAGCGATATAGTTAATCAGAGCAAATAATCAGACAAGTTTTCTGTAACAAGCAGAGGTGTGTCGCATAACTAACTCATATGTTTTGTGATTTGCGTTTGCTATCTGGTGATCGCTGTTGTAGATTTAACGTGACTCATAGCTTCGTTGAATAAATTACTGAATAAGAGTAAAACACGATTTTTCAAGTTTCTGATGCAAAAGCCATCTATACTTCTGAGAAATTATAGTCTATAGAGACGTACAACAAAAAATGGTGCGTTTAACACACTCGAACGAAACAAGAACTAACAAATAAAACTCAGTATTACGACACGCTGAGTAATAAGAAAATTTGGTCTGAAAAGTGTAGTTTGTTGCGCTAGATTAATCGTGCTTTGATTTGATAAATGTTTTTTCTCCTTACAGGTAACATCGAATGAATTATTTAGTCAAAAGAAAAAGCACATTGCAATAAAAATATGAAAAGTAAGTGCCTTTATTGCTGTGTAAACTGAAAATTCAACGCGGCTTGCAATTGAATTGAAAAAAAGAGACGAAATATAGCTCCAAGTTGGTGTAAAAATATACCATGTTACCTTTTTTTTACATCGACAAGGGCGAAAAAAATAGGGGAAATTAGGTCTAAATTCGCAAATTAAAAAACGTCGACATAGCCTAACAGAACACAACATAAAATAACTCTTCTCGGTAATCAAAACTTGGGAGTTATTTTGTGATGATCTGTTTTTCAAACTTCAATTTCTCAAAATAATAACTGAAATTTTAAATTTACAGCGTATAAAAAAAACATTAAGAGCGCTTAGATATCATTGTTTCATGCTACATAGTCAAGACTATCCACCTAACTAATTAATTAATTATAGTTTACATCATTTTGCGAATATTATACCTTGGGACGGAAAGCATCCCGCTCCCCCGTGTGCTAGGGAGAGGGGAGGGGGGGGGGGGGGGGGTTAGTCAAAGAGATCTAAAACAGAACTATTTAAAATTTAGGCCAATTTATTAGTCGGCTTACCGACCTGTTCTGCAGTATGTAACAGTTTAACCCCTCTGGGGGATCACATAAATTTGAGGGGATATAGATACAAAGGGAATGGTAGCTAATAAGACCCCGCCCTTTCCCATCAACGGGAAAAGTATATGACTACATGTGCCCAATTCAGTTAAACAGGCCAGGTAATAAAAATTGGCTCCCGGTAGAGGAAAAAGCCATACGTGTGTATAACATTTTCAGCTGAATTTAATTTTTTGACTCGTTCGTTACTGCATCTTCATGAAAACAAAAGTAGGAAAAAACTGTTTTATTGGGGAAAGCGGTCGAAAAGTTTACAGGTTTTTTTTCCAAACTGAACTAATTGTTTCTCCCGAAATGCTAGAAAATTTTTGCTGAAAGAATTTTTTTCAAAGCAGTAAGGGTTGGAAGAGTTTAATCAAAACATATTTTTGTAGACTGTTGTAAGATTTGAAATGAAAAACGGTTTTGGTTCCTACTTAAACCATTATATCAGTATTATATGAAGCGTAAGCACGTACGGATGTTCTTTTTGGCGAGAACTGGTTATCGTGCCAAAATATCCCATGAGCACCCAAATAATCAAGGGGTCTTTTTAATTCCAGTACCAAAAATTAGAAACCGTTAAGTACGGTTTGATTAATTGAAGTGAAAACAGTCTTCTAATGAGGAGAGTTAAAGTTTCGTCTTTGGGTTTGTTTTAAAAATGTGTCTAGTTGTAATTCAAATTTTTTGGCATTTGTTATGAACAACTTCGATATTTTTCCTGAGTAAGTTAGTTTTCCTGAGTACCCGGGTTGACCAAAAATGCTTATCATACAATTCTCATAAATGGGAAGTTTCTTTTCATACAATTTCAAACAATTCCATACGTACAGAAAATTGTATGAAAACTCTATGACAAGCATTTTCCCATAAATGGAAACTGTATGGTTTTTTCTCCATAAACCAAAAAGTTGTTTTTTGTTGGTAAATTTATTTTGGGAAAAATTTTGGGTTGTGTTTGCAACCGAACACAAGTGACAACAACCTTGCTTACTCAAAGCACCAAAGGTTGGACGGTCTTGCATTTACAATGAACTGTACTGTACAAGACCTCAACTGTCTTCAAGCTGTCTTTCACAAATGATATAACAAAAGTAACAAACTTTTAATTGTTGGCAAAATTTTTCAATGATGATTATTTTAACTTTGTGAATTTTCAAATTATCAGACATCGATCAAGGCATAAATAAACACGCCATACAAAAAAAATAAGAATTTTCATTGTTTTTCAAAAAAAAATTAAGTGAAAAGAAGAAAAGCCAATATTATCATATCCACGACTACGTTATGCACACAAAAAAAAATAAATTTTGCATGCAAAAAAATTTTTTTTTCAGAAAATGTTTGTTTGTACAAAAATCGATTTGCGCTTGAAAAAAAAAACAAAAAAAAATGTTCGGGCAAGTTTTCAAAATTACTTGGAAATTTTTTGTGTCGTATATGGAAATTGTATGGTAAGCATTTTTTTCAAAAAAATTTAAAATCAGTTTTTTTTTGTCACCAGTCTTTTCAACTGTTCTCAAAAAGCCGCAGAAATGGTTTATTTTTTTTCAATTGTTTTCGAAAATGTATGAAAATTGTATGACAAACATTTTCTCCACGCACTTGATGTATGGAATTGTATGATAATGATTTATGTTGTATGGAATTGTATGATAAGCATTTTCGGTGTATGGAGGTCAATCCGGGTAAGTAATGAACTATTTCTTTGATCTTTTTTTTCCGCCGATGGCTATTGGAATTATGAACTCTCTATTGCATGTATTGAATTCTTATATGATAATTTTAATCACACTTAGCGTTTTCCAGATCTGAATCAGTTGATTTTTGTAACCATAAATGTTGTCTGCTTTTTGGTCATTTTTGACAAAAAAAAATTACGATTGCACTACCAGGTCCCAGTTATCTTGAAAATCTTGCCAATATAAGAGTCTTGAAGGTGTATCAAAGATAGCAAAGAAGCTTTTTAAAAAATTCTGGCTTTTTTCCTAGGTACCTCAAAAAGATGTGTGATGGCTCCGGTAGCTCAAAAGAGAATATTCAAGATCTTTAAAGATATCAAAGAAAAAAATTTTCGACATTGTTTTATAGAGAATTATTGAGCAAAGACATGACAAAGCTTCCCAAAAACACCGTTTATTTTTCACAGTATAAGAAACACTTCGAATAACTTATGGTTAAACTTTAGAAAGATTAGAAAAATTTTGAGAATATCCTTCTTTGTGTATAACAAGTTGTTAATTTGGTTCATCTATTTTGTTTTTGATTTTGGCTTCTGATCAACAGGTAAGCAATATAGGTTAGTAAACGAAAATAGGATTTTTACAAATAAGAAAGGTGGCAAGTTGAAGGGTCCAAAAAGCACGCTAAGAAACTGCGTTAAATTTGTTGATACTTAATGTTTTGAAAAAAAAAGAAGAATTTTGCTGATTGTAAATTGTTTTACAGTTCACGGTATCGCCATAGTTGTGAGGATGTTTTTCAGCCCTTCGCATTTGTAAATTCTGCGAGAGCAACCGGGTCTTTGTTGATTTTGTCATTTTTATTTCGGTATGCCTGGTTTTACAGTTTTTCTTGTTCCTTTAGGTAGTTAACAGTTAACATTTATCATTTTTTGAGTTGCAAAGTGTCCTCTTAAAGTACCCGCACCGGAGTTCCATGGATAAGAATCGATTATATTGAATTTTCATGGTCTGTCTCAATAATTTTAGATAATAATCGATTATAATCAATTAAAATTGGATTATAATGATACGATTTTTCTGAGCAATAAAATCCGAATATAATCGATTATAATCGATTTTTTTTGAGAGAAAATGAAACTTGTTTTTGAAGCAAAATAATCCATTTTTAATCGATTATAATCGATTATAAATGCGAATTTTTTCTTTTAAATTTTCGCATAAAAATTTTACCATCGTCAGTTGCTTATTTTGGAATAAATTCTCTTCAATATATTTTCATTAAATTATTTTTTGAGAAAATTCCTTTTTTTATTTAAACTTTCGATTTTTTTTTGAAATTGTGCGCCCTCAAATTCATTTTTGAACGCAGTTAGCCCTAAACATGACAAAATATGAGTTTTCATTTTTCATAATTTTATAATTCACCCTAGAAAAGGAACCTGGAATGTTTATACCCAATTCGTGATTGTGACTGACCCAGTTTATCCTTCTAGTTATCGGCGATTGACTTTTTCAGATATTATTACTTGAATTTTTTGGTCGTTGGCTGGCAGCTATTATGGTAAATGGTTTTCCCAAACAAAGACGACTTGTTAAAATCATAAGATTTGAATTCTACTTTACTGGAGGGCTGGAAATATGCATCCTATAAAATTTTCAAAAATTCTTTCTTTGTTTGTTAAAACCATTTACCATTGGTTCTGCCCATCCCGACCAAGATGTTTTCAGCTGCATACCAAATTGTAGAGCGGAATTTTTTTAAATTTTATAGGATTTAATCTAATCCCGCTGAACAACTGCATTTAACATTTAAAAAGGAACGACTGACTTAACAACTCCATTTGTTTTATTGATTTAACACTAGTTTAACTATTATGGCAATGAATGTCGATGACGCTGATTCTATGTATTATTTTGTCTTCATTTGAGTGCATGTTTTCAAGAAAATTTTGTAATTTTACATCTTCAAAATTGTTTTTTCTTCCAAACATAATCAGAACTAAAAATAGAACAGCCTAAGTAACGAAACAAAATGAATTATAATGGATTTTCTCGACAAAATAACCGATTATATTGGAGAAAAAAATGGGTTTTAATGGATTATAACGGATTTTATTGGATTGTGTTGTTACGAAAATAATCGATTATGAGGACAAAACAATCGTATTCGTGGTCTAATCTTGCCACAATAATGAATTACAATGAAAACATTTTTGACAACATTTTTCCATTATAATCAATTATTATCCATGAAACTCCGGTACGGTGACATAATGTTTATAAAAGTAGGCAATATCTACCATGCAGAATGAATGCTCTATGCAAAGCTTTCTTCTCAATGCATGTTCGTGCGGCGTGCGGGTTTTTTAGTAGGTCATCTGATGTTGTTTGCATATATAGATTAAAAATCCAAAGCAAAAATTTGACGAAAAGTTACGAAGATAGTGGATTAGAATTCCGTCAAGACTCGACCAACTTTTTGCAAATCAAAACTTCTATCAGAAAGATAATTGAGTTTGAGGAGACCGATGCGACCGCACCCCTTTTAGTTTTCACGTTTTGAGTGCATTTGACTGTGAAATTTGTTATATTCCGTTTACGGAATGTTTGAATTTCAAAATCTTTTTTAAAAATAATGTTGCTTGCTATATATAAATATTGCTTGAAAGATATTGCTTGATATTTGAAATTTTGTTGTGAAAAGTGTAATATTGGTAGTTATTTTATTTTAAGCAACTGATTTATCGCTGTAAAAATCTAAAAAATAAAAAATCAAAAATAAAAGATAGAAAAATTTCTGTTCAGATAGATGTAGAACTTCATCGCAAGTGTTTTATACCCTATTATTTTAAATAAAATTTATACTGATAGTGTTAATCTTTTCAAATTGAAAGTGTTAATCTTATTTAAAAAAATTAAGCGCATTTTCTCCAATTGTGTTGGTAATAGACAAAAAATGATCGGTAAAACACTTAACATTAATACGGTGCTATATATTTTGCAAATACAATTTTTTAATCTAAAAATTGCTCAGTTTTGGCGTGTTTTATTCGATCAAAACTCAGTTTAACTTTACCAGAAATTTTATTCAACAAAAAGTTTCAGAGTGATCGATCTATTTAGCCAAACAAAATTTAAAAAGGATATAAACAACAAAGTTTTGCAGTAGAAAAAAAAATAAAACAAAAATTAGTATTTTTTTTTGCAAGAAAAACGTTTAACTTCCATTTAAGTATAAAATATTTTAAAGAATATAAGCTTTTTAAACTTTGTTGAAAGACAAAAAGCGCTCGTTGAACTCAATTTTTCAGCTTTTCTTAGAGAAGTTTTACCGTAATTTTGATTGACCCAAAGACACCGACAATGTCTTATTTTTGAGGTAACGTTTTTGGGCCTGAACTTACTTTAGAAAAATTTTGGGCCGGCAAAATTGTAGCATATTAATTAATTCATGTAAGAAAACAACTTTATTACCATCACTTTTTGTGTAATTTCAACACAAGTTAAGAAAAACGCAGGTAAAATTATCAATGTGTTCTATTTGTTCCGTATGTTTAAATCAAGGCTATAAAGTCGAAGAAAAAACAGAGACTTCTGAAAAAACAGGCAGTTTTAATAAGAAATGATAAAAGATGTCGATGTCTAAGTTTCGTAAACAATTGATAACTGTGAATTTCATTTTTCAAACAAAAACTCACATACAGAATTATGCAAATGATCAAAAATTAACTTTTGTCGGTTAATTGTCGAGAATTTTGACATCTAATGCCTTTCAGGTTCTCTCGACTTTCTTGAGGTCATAGATTTCCTAATTTTTATTTTAGTTTGAAATTGAGGTCCTAAATGTTAGATAACAATTTTTGATTACTAGCGTATTGAATATTTCTGGCACTGTTGAAAACACGAGATGAATCAAATATTTTTCTGCGCTGAAACAACCTCTGAGCTAATCAGAAACGAGTGCATCTTGACTTCAATTTGTTCAAGTTTTTGAAACAGGTTATTACTCAGGTCTCAGACGATCAATTGAGCAACAAAATTGCATTTCCGAGTCATGGTCAGTTTTATGTTAAGTCTTAGCAAAATTTTATTTATCGGAACTACATTTGGTCACACTGGACAAAAGCTGTGCACTAAATTGCCCTGCCCGCATGTGTCTGAATGCTGGAAATTTTTCAGCAAGATTGTTGAGTCACTGTTCTGGAAAAAAATTTAGAGCCATTATTGGTAAACTAGCAAACTAGCAAGTGCGGATATAAGATGTTTCCGAAGGTTGAGGAGGTGGGGGCAAATATTTTGAAAAAGCGAGGCAAATGTTTTTAAGCGCTTTTTATCTTATTATGTAAAACGGACTTATTTCTTTTGACACCATCTTGAAAGAGCATCTAAATTTTTTTACCAATTTTTGTTTGATGAGACAAACTATAGTTTTTTTTAAATAAAAATTAATCCAAAGCACAAATCATTTATTCTTGTTTGTTTGGATTTATTTTATTTTGGATGTCTTTGATAAAAACTTGTTCGAGCGAAAAAAAAACAATTTACTCATAACAATTAAATTTATTATTTCAACAATTTTGACAGCCAAATATTAGCCACCTTTTTTTAGCACAAAGATGTTTTTAGGCACTTTTTGAAAAACTTTGGCCAAAAAATTGCGCTTTTTCGGCGCATGCTCCCCCTAATATACATTGGCTCCGAAAGCGCCTTTAGAAAGTTTTCTAGAGTCAGTCACCAAAAATTGATATTTCAAAATTGTACAAACGGGGACCCTTTGGGTTGGCAGGGGGTCGAATCCTTGAGGGAGCGCGTCCGACCTAATCCCCCCCCCATAAATCCGCCCCTACATTTACGTCCAATTTTTGGCATCAACCGTTTCAGAAGCTCGATTCAACCACTAACTCGACCTAAAAAAATTGAAAAAAATAAATTTGCCCCGATGAGTTTAATCAGGTTAAATGTATAACAAGCTAACAAGCTGCCTCAATATTTTGATTTACTTTATTTGATGTTGTAATTTTTCCTTTTTTGTCCCTCAAATTTTCTTCCGATAAAGAAAAACAAAAATAAATTTCTCAAACAAAAAAATAAGTTCGGCTTTTGTGGTTGAGTTTTTATTTGAAAATATTTTAATGGAAAATGTACTTCAGTAATTTCTAGCTGTCAGTTGAAGTGTTTTCCTGGTACAAATTGACATCAAAAGTTCCAAAAAAATCTGGCTTTGAATGTTGGAAAAAAAGGAAATCATTTTTGGAAGTCTTATTGAAGTTCTTCTAGATCAGTATAATTAATTAGATAAACTTCTTGAGTAAAATGCAGAATCATCTGCTGAACTTTTTTTTCAAACAGACAAAGTTCCATCCGCTCCGAAGTTTCATGGGTAAAAAAGGATGCAAATGGATTTTCGTTGACTAAAATGTTTCGTTAATAATCTATTGTCGTGGCAAGTTTAGACGATGCAACATAATCGATTATTTTCTGTGAGAATTCTCTTATTTCTTTAAGAATTGGTTATTTTTTGTAACTTTATGCAAAAGTCGAATTAGAAAAAAAAAACCGTTCAGCATTCCGATGTACAGCACGACCACCCTTCATTTCTCTTCACTACGCTTAGCCCACGAGAAAATCCCCATCAGAACCCCCTCCACTTTCCCTCTCGTCCCCCACTTACCGCCTTCTCCCTCCCTGTCTCGCGCATACTACCTCAATCTCCCACGTTCAAATTTAAAAGGGAGAAGAGGTTAGAAGTCGGGGAGAGAACAGGTAACTGTGGGATAGGGGTTAAAGGTGGGGGTAAAGTAGGGGTGGCGGTAAGTGTAAGTTGTGGGGTTCGTTGTGGGGAATAAATTTGAAGCAAAAGAATAGAAAAAAACTATATCTTGGAACCAGCTTAAAACATTTATTTTTTATACCTTGATATTTATCACTGTGAAATAATTTTAACTAACCAATCATGATCCATTATTCAAATTTACGATAAATTGTGAAGCTGAAACTATTCATAGTTACAGCCAGAGAAATTATAATGCAGATTGAAATCAGTTGCTTTCTTCTCTCCTCTAACCTCGCAAGAATACCAGTATACATTAGACCTATTGAGACTAGGAAATATAAGAGTAAGATTAGGATTGTTACCAGACTAAGAAGTTTCACGAATATATCCGGCCGAAAATAAGATAGCAGACGAGCAGACGGTGTACCTTATCCGAAGTTACTCTATGGGAAGGCCAACCTAACCTCAGTTCACATTTAAAAACGTGATTGATTTCAAGAAAAATGTGAAAATTAGTGAGACAACAAAATAACTAAGTTAAGATTGAAATGATTGTAAAGAAACAAAAAAACTCACGAAAAAAGACTAAAATTGAGTTATAGTCCATTAAAATCGATTAAAACGAAATAATTTTCTTCCAACAAAAAAATGAAGAGAAACTGAAAACAATTGATTTTAGTTTATTAGGAATACGTTTATTTTTGCTCTGAAAATTAGTAACATGATAATCCATTCTTGATCGATTTTTTATTGACTTTTCTTAGAATTTTAGAGAGACACACTATAAAAACCCAGTTAATTGAATTAATATCCATCAATTTTCAGTGCGTGTAGAAAAAACGCAGATCAGTAAAGAAATTAGTGAAACAAGATGGAGCCTAAACTTGATTGTAAAACTTATAACCGAATCTGATATAAGAGGAAAAGATTTCAAAATGATCACTCATGGTTTAGTTGAAGATACTCAAAAACGGAAATTAGTTCCATTTGAGCAAAATGCTGAAGATTTTCAAAGAAAACATTTTTAGGTTTTACGTGGGTAAAATAAAAATTAGTTTACTTTTCTTACCTGGCAAAAATGTAAACAAAAAAGTAATAAGGAAGTAATTTATTAGTCCCAGTTGACCTATTTGTTCAAACCTGCGCGTGAAGATGGAAATAATTCAAGTCTCAAATTGGGTTCAAGTAATAAACAACCCAAATACATTTTATAGTCTGTTTAAAATTCCTTAAATGGCTCAATGGTTACGAAGCAATTTTTTGTTCAAGTTGATTCAAAAATAATAATTCGCCTCGGTATTGTAATTTTGAACAAAAGCAAAAATAAATCTGCGGGAAACTCAATTCAAATTTCAGACACAAAACGGATTATTGCCTGAATTCAATGAAATTCGCTGCCAAAAGCGGATATTATTATAGCTTGTGTACATATCACTCGGTTTGATAACTCCGTTATATTTTTTAACCAATTTATTCAGGTAAACTCATTAAAAACTCTTTAGGGAAATTGAAGAGAAATAATTCGAAACGTGAGATGATATTATCAAATTTAAAAAATGGGGGACATTACTATAGAACTACATGCTCGTACTACACGGTTGGATTGCATAATAAATTGAGCTTAAGTTCTTCTTTTTTATTTCTTACCAAGCGTGAATAAATATATAAAATTGATGCACACACGAGATGGTATTACGGAAGGTTAAGCCGCGTGAAATTTATGTTGCAAAATGTAAAACATGGGGAATTTTTATCGTGAATGGCCCTTGAAAAGATTGAATTTGTAGGAGAAATCAGTTTTAAAAAGAAAAAATTGTAGTTGATTTGGGAAAAATCATTTGAGAAAAGAAGGAAAAAAATCAGGAAAAAACTTAAATTTTAAGTTGAGACTGGAAAAATTGGTTTTCTGTGGAAAATAAAGGATAAAAATAGGAGCAAAATTTTAAAAAAAAAACGTAGAATTTGAGGGGGAAAAGTGCTTTTTGGGGAATGGTAAGCTTAAGTAAGATCACCTGATGAATATTTGTGACGGCAATTAGCTTGAGGCGCCTTTTTTCTAAACTGGGTCGGAATATCAAAAGAATTCAGGTGCTATATACTGAGACATTAAGTCTAAATACATTTGCATAGAAAGACAGTTTGTCTAAAGAAAAAGTGAATCGCACTAGCAATTGTTTTTACATGATAGCTAAAATTTTCCCAATGTTAAAAAAATTTGGGCGACCCACTATTTTTTTGCATGATTAATTGAAAAGTCATCAGAACAGTTTATTTTTTTAGTTCTTCATTTTCGTGGTTAGGCATAGTTATCATAGGTTAGAGCATTTCATTGAAATATAAAGAGTTCTCAGTTGTTTTGGCGAATGAATTGAGGAAGTTTGGCGAAGAGTCTTCGAAATATACATTCGTCGTTCTAGTAGTATCTTCCAGCGCTACTTAAATAAAGAAAATATTTGGTTGGTAAATACAACTTAATTTTTAGCATGGTCAACATAGACCCAACTTTTTCTAGTTTTGTCATTTTTCTATCAATTTTCTGCTTTAATTTCAGAAAATTATCATAGGAAAACGGTGTATCCCATAAAACTCTTTTAACTGCTTATAACAAATTAAACTGGAATGCACAGTTTGTCATATACAACTAAATTACTTCCAGTTTTTAACTTAAAAACAGCTTTTCTAAAACTTTTGCAAAATACCTCGGTCCTGGACTCCTGGATCTGGATCTGGAACTGGCCCCCGGAGACCTTGACCTACTGTGAGGACTCTTGCTCCTATGATGTCGATTTCTTCTTCTCCTGTCCCTTGGGGACCTCCCCCTTCCTCCTGGAGATCTAGGAGACCTCCCGCCTGATCTAAAAGTAGTTTAATTCGCAGCAATCATTTCAACGGCATTAATTGATATCACTAAGACCGAATTATGTTTTTTTGTCTAATAATTAGGCATAACTTCCCTTGGACGATAATTGATCGCTCATAGAATCAAGTTGAAATACTGTATGAATTGCTCATATTTTCGTTGACCGTAAAACTAGCCAAACAAACACTAATAAAACCATTTTAGCTTTTGCCTGTCCTCACTTTTTTCTGATGTACATTTACATTTTGGCAGAAATTCGATATTTAAACCTTGTTCTACAAATGTTGATTATAACTGACTTGTAATTGCAGGAAAAGAAACTTATAAAAAGTGTATAATTTTTTTCTTGTATACTGATTATATTTACCTGGGAGATCCTCGCCCGTGTTTATGGGGCGACCTTCGTCCTCGATCTGGCGATTTGTGGCCCCCTACAGGCTGGCCCACTGGTTTTCCCTGTACCACCATCACTCCAGTGTACTGTATGTGGGGGGAGGGGATACTAGCTGGAGAGAGAGGTCGATTGACCAGATGGGGCGACCTTTGGTTTGATAATTCAAGCAAATAATCAAATACTTTATAGTTTTTTTGTTTCAGCTCTGAGAATAGAACCTACAAAAATAGTTTTCAAAAAAATCTCAAAAGAAGTTGTTATACACTTTTAAGCGATTTGTTGATTGACGGGGTTATCTTATTTTTATATCATGTAGTCATACTCAGGGGCGGATCTAGGGCTTTCTCAAGGGGGGTGGCGCATTTTCAAAAAAAAATTTCAAAAATTGTGTGGACCTTTTTTTTAGCTCTCCCAAAGCACTAAAAAACCTGTTTTGGTCAAATTTTCTGCGGCGCCAGCAATATTTTGAAAAAACAGGCCAAAAAGACGTTTTTAGACATTTTTTGGAAATTCGTCTGCTACCCCCCTTTCCCTCGCCCCCTAAATCCGCCCCTGATCATACTCACCGTCAGGTAACTTCTGATTTTAGCGGTTGTTAATATAATGGAGCAGTTTTTTTTAGGTTTTGTCCAAAAAAGTAGGTTGACAACCCAATTTGGTTTTTGAAATATCAATTTTTTGCTCTGATCACAGAGTAGGGTTCAGTTTTTGTACTGGGTGCGTTTTATTTCAGGAATGTCTGGAAATTTTAATTGACCGCCAGCTCTGACCGAGGGATATATCATATTACAGCCTTTTCAGTTATGATTTTAGCTGTGTGCCATTTTTTTCGGCAACATCTCCCATGGTTGCGAAACACATTTAGAAAACTAACGGATGATTTATCAACTCCTTTCAGGTAACTCCTTGGCTCTCAAAGAAGCTAGCTTTGTTTAGTTTCAAGACCTTCCCGCACTGGAGTTCCATAGATAATAGTCGATTAGATTGTCATTTTATAGTCAGTATCTATCAAATTACAAAAATAATTGATTATAATCCACCAAAAATAGATTAAAATCCTAGTATTTTTATATCAATATAATCCATTATAATCAATTATAATCCATTAAAAATGGATTATAGATCTTATATTTTTTATGGCAATATAATCCCTTATAATCGGTTATAGTCAATCATAATGGATTTTTTCGAGAGGTTAGTCATGAAATTCATCGCGTTTCCCGTTTGGTGCAGTTGCTACGTATTAGGTTTCATAAAATGTTACAATTCACTTTTCAATTTATATACTTTTTGTCTTATATACCCCGTTTCCCCCTCCCTGTTTACCCTTAATGGGGGGTTATTAGTAGACTTTAAATTATTATTGGTAGACTTTGGGGGAGGGGGTTTATGATTTATGATTTACACCCCCCAGTCCTCATTTTACCCTCATCTTAGTTTTCATTTTTTAAATGGTTTTTTTTTCGTTGATTTTATTATGTGAACGGCTGACTCTTTTAGTGTTTTAAGGTGATTCAAAATTTTGCTTAAGCTTTTATTTTAAGGAAAAACTGATTTATCTAGAAAATTAAATGAAACTAATTAATGCTGAAAAAAAAACTACTAACGAACTACTACTGAATAATTATGGATTTTCTTACAGTCGCTATAAAGTATCTCAAAGAAACAAAAAACAGTTTGAAGAAAAAGAAGTTTCAAAAAAACCTGCTCGCATTTTCTGTTAAACGGACTAAGTTCAGCGAGTAAATGGACAGTGGACCTTTATTCAGTTTTCAACTACCCGTACCCAATGGAGGCTGTTTTTCTAGATAAAGTTTTGTGTAGATTATCTAGCCTAGTTTTCTCGTATTTTCCGTGCAGAAGTGATCTTTTTCTCTTCTAGTTTAGAAATAAACATTTTCTGGAAAAAAATAAACTGAAATCAATTCACTGCTCAACCGCAACGAGATAAAAATGCTTCGACTAAACATAATAACAGTAGCAATACAATGCAAACTTACACTTGTTATAACAAGTATTATTTTGCTAAAACTATGAAGCTTCATCAGGAAATCTAGCCTAGTGGATAGAGCAATCGTCTAGAAATCAGAGGGGCAGGGGTTCGAGGACCACCAGGAGACTTTTTTCTAGGTAGAAACAGCCTAGAATTAGCTAATTTCATATCAGAATTAGAATAAGAAACAAACAAAAGTTAAGGAAAACCTCTGCTTTATTTAAACATTTCAAAAAAAAAATTCTGTTCAGAAATTAGATTACATACAAAGTATTTCAGGTACTTAAATTTTTTTTTATTTTCTGATTGATTCAATTTGTTACTGTGACACTTCGAAGCAAAAGCCAACTGGCACAATTTAAGGAAGGTGGCTTTTCGCAAAGCTTGCAACTCGACTTATTGCAAGTAGCGAATGCTATTGGTAAGTAACGACCGCTTGCTCTGCTACATTGAAGCTGCTTAGCAAAACTGCTATAACGCGTGTAAATCATCTTTCCCCACTGATATAGACTGTTGCTGAAGATAGTACCCCAATTACTAATTTTTTTGTCACGTGATGTCCCTGCACTAAAATTTCATGGGAACCGGGTTGACCAAAAATGCTAGTCATGCATCTTTCATGTATGGAAAAATGCTAATCATACACTTTTCCTGTAATTCCATAAAAACAGAAAATTGCATGAAAAGTCTATGGTTTTTGATTTTTCATTTATGGAAACTGTATGACTAGCATTTTTCCATAAACCAAAAAATTTGATTTAAAAAAAATTTCTCAAAGTTTTTTTGTTTGTGTTCGAAACCGAACGCATAAGGCAAAAACCTTGGTTAATTGAAAGTAAAGTCACCACAGGTTTGATCGCGTCGCAATTGCAATGCCCCGGAAATGGCCTGAATAGTATTATTTGTTAAATTTCAACAAGAAATTTGAAAGATGATTTTTTTAACTTTGAATTTTTAAATAATCATGCTTTGATCAAGGCATACAAAAACATGCCATTCAAAATAAAAAGACGTTTGAGGGTTTTGAAAAACTATCCTGCGAAATGGGAGAAAAATCAAATTTTGCGTATTAAGGACTACGTTATTATGCAAAAATTTAAAAAATTGTTGCTGCCGCCATCAGAAAATGCTAATCATTGAATTTCCATTTATCGAAATTGTATGAGCGGCTTTTTTATTGACAAAATTTTCCTTTTTTATTTGTGACGATACACCGAAATGTATACCAAAACAAAAAAAATGTTTGAAAATTCGATTACTCCATTTTAGCAAATCGTATGACCTTTGTCTGACTCGTAATTTTTCATTGACTTAATTTATGGAATAATATAATAAGCATTTTTGGTCTGTGGAGGTTAACCCGATTAAGTAATCGATTTTAATAAAGATATAACGGTAAAACTATTAGCCCATATAATCAATTGTCATGACCCATTCAACCATTAGAAGTGGCCTTTTGTGTATTTTAGTCGAGTATCTATTATAATCAAAAATTCTTTATAATTGATTATAATCCATTTTAGCTGTCATTTAATTCAATTGTTTTCTGGCTCTTAAAATTCATGATAGTCTATTGTTTTTTTTTGTATATGTAAAAT